TTTTTTTTTACATAGTTAATATTACCCTAACTATACATACAGGTTTTCTGCAATTTAGGTCTTTTTTCATAGCAAGGTCGAGAAGCTGAAAATCATGGCACATAGGAAAATTCTAATGAGTCAGAATCAAAATTTTTTGTAGTAACAATGAATAATTAAGGAAAAAGTATAACCACAATAGGAAGCGAGAATTTCAATTTCTTCCACAGGTTACTTGGAAATCCCTTGTGGACCCTGAAAAATTCTTGAATTTCGGATTGGTAAATAAACTCTTGGATGTTCCGAAGTGGCGAATGCGGTAGGTACCCCAGTTACAGTTGCCATTTATATCTGAAACAGACCATTCAATCGTGGCATAGCTTCTGCCGAGTAAAGAGTCTAGTTTGCTGTCTCGGTGCCAGAAAAATCTAAAGACATTTAAATAAATAAAGGACAAATAAATAGGAAAGGATAACATTGTCATATCAATATCGTAACTCACTTCGTCTCCCAATCTGCATCAGTAAAAAGAGTTTCCCATTCTCCCGTGGCCGCCGACCGTTTATCAACGGTTAAAAACGTCCCTTCTAGTCTCATATTATTTCGAGGATGTGCACTAACAAACGTGGCATTGACCTTATCAGTGAGCTTAAAGGAAAAATATTAACAAAATATTTTAATTAAATACAGTCTAATTGAATTGAGATACAGATTCTCAGAGTCCTAAAAAAACGAATGAGTTGATAGGCAAATATCGTATTTATCAGAACAATCGACTATATCAGAGTAGGTTTCGAGACCATCAGTCAATGTTGAAAAAAAATCAAAACTTCTGTCATCCTAGGTCACGTATGTTGATGAAAAATTGATATTTACATTTTTGTAGATTTCATGTTTACAGTAAATTTTACTTAGTTCTCTGAAAAGGTATTGTCATCCAGGGTAACTGGTGTTTCGAACTCGTCTGAGTATCTTATTCAAGATTTACTGATATTTTCAAAACGTACTTTTATGAATATATGTAACAAATAAATTGTAATGGCAAAATATAAGTTTGCCTAATATACAATCCCACTACACAATCCAAATTGAATTGGCCTAATCGTCCTTGAAATTCATGTATGTCTTGCGACCCGAAGAAATTCGTGGCATTGTTGTAACATGTTTAGATTATTTAATGCCCTAATCGGTTTCGAGTCTCTCCGGAGAAGTTGAGACTTAAACGAAGTCAAAATTGCAATACAACCAAGATCAGAATAACTTTTTAGAAAGAAAGGGTAGAAAATTAAATAATCAGTCCTTCATCACCTTATGCGACCTAGTGTGACAGGAGCTCTTATTCGAGATTTACTTATAATTTAGAAAACCTTCTTTATATAAGTATAAAAAATCATTTGATGGTAATGCATGAGAGATGAGCCATAGCCATTAGGATCAAAATAGATATTTTTGGTATGAAAGGCTATCGAAAAGGATATACGAAGTGGATATAATTAAATTTAGGCGATCTGTTAAGTTTTAAAACGAGTCTTAGGAAATACTTATCTGTGATGAATGTCAGTCTATCTAGGCAAACTAAAGAAAGATATTAATGGTTAATCAGAAGGAAATCATGTTTATATTGGATTACCTTAGTGTATATCAATTTTGGCTCTACCAATACGTCGCCATATTTCATTCGAAACGGAGTTGTGTCATACAGCACTCCAGGAAGCAAACTCCAGAGTTTTTCAAAGAATAATGGCGGATTAGGACCTTGAGGTAATTCGCTTCCCTTTAATAGAAAGCAACAATATCAATTATTAATGGCAAAAAAAAGATGAATGAGATAGAGGAAAATAAAACAACTGAGATATATTTATGAGGCCATAGTGATATGAGTTTAAAGGTTTAAAAAAGCCCTAAGCAAAGACAAAATCATTTGGCTTTGTGTTATAAAATGAAAGAGGAAGGCGTATCAGCTTTACATCATGGCCGAAAAAGATTGCGTCGATTCTAATAAAATCAAAATGACAACCACGATATAAATATTCAACATTTTACACAGAGTTTTATACGAACAGAGGATTTAAGAAAATATATAAAGAGTTAAGCAAACAAGCAATTTCTTCATGGGCTAGCATAAATGTTTAACAATAAGCATAAATTATGGAAAAATTGTACATACGCATACCAAGCCATTATATCATCAATAACATCGATCAAAGGGAACAAGTATTGAAATATACCATTAGTAAAAAACAGAAGGATGAAAATGAAAAAAGAAGATGGTCAACTTCCTCTAAGACGCAACGAGTATGTATATATATATATATGATCTTAAAAATGCAATAGAAACAAGTGATAATGGCCGAGAATAGTACTTCAAAACGCATAAAAAATTAACAGAGCTTGCAAAAATATACTTGTGTACGACGAAGGACAAAAACATAAATAAGATCGAAGTGGCCGTGTAGCCGAGTGGTTAGCGTGTCAAGCTACCGTCCTGCATTGTCGCGGTTCGAATCCTGCTGAGGGTGTTGATAAGACCGAGGCGAGGTCGAAACTGCAGTCCACCCAGGATGAGAACAACTTTTGGGCAAGCAAGGCTATGTGAAATTGAATAAAAAGCTCAGTTCAACTCATATCATTGTGGGAAAATTCTACTACCAGTCCTTCATCACCTTAGACGAAATAGGGTG